TTCACATGATTTGCAAGGACACTTATAAATTCATTTTGGATTTCTGGTGAAAGGCAAGATACCTTTTGGGTTTCGATATATAATATTATATATGTCTTCAAAAAAACTTTTCTTTATTTAAATTTAAATAAATAAGAATTAATCATTAAAAGATTTAAAATTGTGTAAAATAATATATTTTTTAACCCTATAAATGGGTAAAATTCATTTTTTATGTTTTTAATTTTTACCGATTTTTATACTTATAACCGCCCGACCACACTTATTTGGTATCAATGGAAAGCCATATTTCTCAGAATTTAGATAAATATAGCCTCCTGTCACTTAAGGAAGTTACCGAACACTTTAAACGGCATGGAATAATGAATGTGTTTTTCTGAGCTAAACATAGGGTCATTACATTTCTGACACATCAACCTTGAACTTTTAATAAAGCCTGCATTTGGATTGGTTACATTTGTGAAAAAATGTATATGTGATCGGTTATCCTTTTATGAATCTCGGTTAGACCGAGAACTGTGTGCTATGTAAATAAGCAATTTTTCAATCGGGTGTCACCCCTAAAATGGTGTCACCCGGTGTGGTCCGCACCCCCATAGCGAGAGTATTGGAAGAGATTCTAGAAAGTCCCATTCAGCTTTGAATTTCAAAACATAAAATACTGACCAGTCCATGACTTTGAGAAATCAGCTGCTTTTAGATGTCTTCTAAGCCTTGATATTTCTTTTTAAAGTTCATCTTCTGATAACTCATCATTGAAAGAAGTTAATTTTGGAACGGGTACCAATAAATCTTCTTCACTTGCTGATACTAGACTCTTGGGTTGAACAGACCCAAACATATTTGGTACTTCCTTGATCACTGATGATCTGATGTGGAGTTCAGAATGAAAGCGATCAATACACTCCAGCATCTCCCTACTGTTTTCTTCTCGCAGATGGAGTCCATTGTTATCCTGGCATTCTCTTCTTAAACCTTAATCTTCTCTCTTCCAAAAGTCCATATTGGTCTGATTTTAAAAGTTCCTTTTCAATAGCATTCTCCACCAAGTGATGGCGCTTCTCGTGCAGAAACAATCTTGATGCCTCTAGGTTTGTCATCACTTTGTCAAGAGTAATCCCTTAAATCTGCAGATAGTGCTGTGTAAGATTAACTTCTTCAAGTAGATCAGCCCAAAGTTAAAGGTAGCAGATAAACGTGAAATCACAGACAACATGTAAAAGATCTTGTGCTTAAACTCTTGTATGCAAATTTTTACAAGGTGATGACATAGAGCTTTAATCGCCTCCCCAAAATTCATCAAACATATCTTTCGCTGATTTAAGAGTAGCATGATCAGCACTCCAACGTGTTGTTGACTGTCACCGACATTCCAGTGTGTTCCATTAGAACATTCCATCGATTATTGGATGCAGCAAAGAAGGAAAATGTTCTTTCAAGAGTACCGAATAATGTAATACATGAAGCATTATCTGCAAAAGAGTGTTGACCACACAAGTGAATGGCCCACACATCCTTTAAAAATAAAAATTGCTTTCTTATTATTTCTTTTCCGGATGGCTTGAACACCTCCATGGATTCCATACATTAGGGCAGCATTATTGTAACCCTGAGCTCTGGACATCAGTATGTCTAGTCCATCATGCTTTAGTTTGTAAGAATGTCAGAACTGAGGTCATCAGCGTTTTTCATCTTAACGGGAAAAATGCAATAAACACTCCTCTCACTTCGACTTTCCCATTGGGGATTATCACATATCTGATCACTACAAACATCTGGTCACTGTGTGATATATCAGGGGTACTTTCGAAAATAATTCCAAAATACCTCGCAGGCTTTATATCCATGATAAGAAACTCCTTCACATGATTTGCAAGGACACTTATAAATTCATTTTGGATTTCTGGTGAAAGGCAAGATACCTTTTGGGTTTCGATATATAATATTATATATGTCTTCAAAAAAACTTTTCTTTATTTAAATTTAAATAAATAAGAATTAATCATTAAAAGATTTAAAATTGTGTAAAATAATATATTTTTTAACCCTATAAATGGGTAAAATTCATTTTTTATGTTTTTAATTTTTACCGATTTTTATACTTATAACCGCCCGACCACACTTATTTGGTATCAATGGAAAGCCATATTTCTCAGAATTTAGATAAATATAGCCTCCTGTCACTTAAGGAAGTTACCGAACACTTTAAACGGCATGGAATAATGAATGTGTTTTTCTGAGCTAAACATAGGGTCATTACATTTCTGACACATCAACCTTGAACTTTTAATAAAGCCCGCATTTGGATTGGTTACATTTGTGAAAAAATGTATATGTGATCGGTTATCCTTTTATGAATCTCGGTTAGACCGAGAACTGTGTGCTATGTAAATAAGCAATTTTTCAATCGGGTGTCACCCCTAAAATGGTGTCACCCGGTGTGGTCCGCACCCCCTGCACCCCCCTCGCTACGCCACTGTCCTTTACAATTTGTATTTTCAAAAAAAATATAAATTAACCCTAAAATATCTGAGACATTTTATATTTTACTCACCGCCAGCAGGAGACTCCAATTATGATTATTTTGAGTGATTGATTCTGTGGTTAAGATTTTTACCAAATCTGAGGGTGCATCTTTGAAAAGTCGACTGTTCTGGAAACCTAAAAAGAAAAATGATATTCAATTTCAGTTAGCCCCCTTTCCTCCAACACTATAAAATATTTAAAAATAGACTTTCTCTCTGTATTTCATCAATATCTTTAATGGCTTTACTAACTTACCAGTAGATTCTAAATCAAAAGTGAATCTTGTCATAATCTGACTTGAAGTTCTATTAGATTACTGCTATTAAATAATCTGACTACATTCTCAAATGGTTCAATTTCTTGTGAGATGAAAAATACTTTTCTCCATGCACCACTAAGGGTAGGGTAGTAACTGTTTTAATTTTAATTTCCACATTTTTGGGAAAATTAATTTTTATGCATGTGTAACTCAGAGTCTAATAAGTAATTTCACAGATGATTTTTTTGGTTAAATTTTCATACTACATACAGCATTATCAGAAAAATGTAATTATTGTTTGCATGATTTGGATTCAAATTTAAGAAATTAGGTAAACATTGATTACCTTTTTGAAACTTTAATGGCAGTGTAAGATTTTCTGTCTCCGTTCTCTGTAGGTAGTTCTTGTTTGCAGTTAATGTGGTCAATAATTCAAGACCAAGGCAAGTACCCCAAATAGGAAAATAGTCTCCCTTATCATTTGCCTGTTGTATAAAAATTAATCATTTATAATAATAACACTGAAAATTTTTGCAATTAGTGACATTTCAAATATTAGACTTTTGGAGGATTTATCAATTTTCCAAGGCAAGTACCCCAAATAGGAAAATAGTCTCCCTTATCATTTGCCTGTTGTATAAAAATTAATCATTTATAATAATAACACTGAAAATTTTTGCAATTAGTGACATTTCAAATATTAGACTTTTGGAGGATTTATCAATTTTCCATAAATTTTAAGCTCAAACCATTCATGTTTATATAGACTATACCTGGTGATTCAAAGGGCTCATTAACTTAAATCAGCATTTTATAATGCACTTGTTTTACCTGAATAGCCAAGTCATAAAGATATCGTCCAGATTGGTAATATGGGCCTGTATTTATATCAGCAGCACCACCAGGGAATAGGACTCTGGTTAGGAATGTTTGATTTTATACTTTAAATAAAGTTTTACTATATTTTAATTTAAATTAACAAAATAATAAATGGGCTTTTAGCAATTAGTTTTTTTGGTTAAATATACAGCAAACATTCTACCATACCAGGCCAAATTACCCATTATTAAAAATATCATGAAACAAAGCTATATCTGCAAAAATATAAATAATGAACATACTCAGGATGACTTATACATTTGAGTGCAATTAGGTAAAGGAACATGAGATGAAAAGAAAACTACTATATTGTATTATTTAGACTAACCCATTGATATTCTTGAATAATTGTTCATAATATTGCTTTGGCTGCTTTCCTCTGTGAACAAAATCGTCATTTTTTAAAATGTTGATATTTTTAAATGAAATAAAAATTTTATATAATGAACTAGTTTTATATTCTAGTCAACATTGCCCAATTATTTTTAATTTCTTTTTCATCTAGTATTTTTTATATAAATAATGAACTAGGATTTGAATAAAAAAATTTTTTTTAAACTTTTAAAAAAAAAAATACTTTCTATCAAATATGAGTTTAAACCATTAAAAAGCATAAAATAATTTTAAAAAGTCTTAAAATGCATAATGCAAGGTAAGACGGTAATTTGAGCGACAGTGCAACTGTCCTCCATCGACCCAGTATACTTTCCAGCCGCTCTCACCTGGTGAATACTGCATGAGAAAGACTCTTAAAATGTCATGTTTGTACAGCCAAAACTTAAGTTCCACAAGATGGAAATGCAAGTAGAAAGAAAGTTTTTAAGAAAAAGAAGAATCTTTGGAGCTTCTTCTTCTTCTATATTTTCAGGGCCCACGATTAATATATTGATCATTCTGGCACCTATGTTTGTAGAGGGGGTTTGCGATGTTCAGTGGATGGTTTTGAAGTGGATACTTCACTGGTTGCAAGGGCGACTCAGCGATGGTATTAGGAACTGGGGGTTGGAAGGCAGGAAGCAATAGACGCAAATGTGTCAAGTGTTGTCACCTCAACTGTTCCTTTTGGAATCTTTTTCCAGTCGCTGTTTGTCTTTGGCACGAATGATCAGTTTCAGTACTGTGCTCTTGCTGTTGTAGAACTGCCTGTCATGGCCTCATCGCTGTCTAGGGGGGAGAGGGATGAGTTACTGTTTAATGCTGGATCCTTAGATTTGCCTGGTTGCACACATTGTTAATGTGGTCGTCCGAGCGTACCTCTCTTTGAATGGAAACACTGAGGTACCTTACTGAGGAAACTGACTCAAGCATATTACCATGCAGTTCGTAAGAGTGGTGTGGAAGGTTTCTTAATTCTACTTCTCAAGACTGACTGGGTCTGGCACTTGAAGGGGTGAAATCCCATGTCCCAGCTCTAACTTAACTTATATTATTAACAGAGAACAGACAACAAAGTCTTGAAAACTATTGTATTCACTACAGTATGAAAAATGAATACATTTGTATTTGTCAATGAAATTTAAAATAAATTATTATGTCACCCCCACTTACTGGTAATTTCTTAGTTGAACTATTTTAAAAAGTACCAACTCAAAATTAAAATAATTGAAAATGAAGAGTTCTAGAGGAGCAGACAATTGTAAAATTTTACTGTAATTTTAAACTATTGAGCGTTCTATTAGACCCAATGGTGAGAATAGTGGAAAGGTTAATTAAATACCCGGTAGTAAATTGAAAAAAAACAACTCTTGACTGTTTGAACAGATGGGAATAAAAACCCCTGCAAAGTTTATCACTAACCAGTGACTTCAGAAATGCATGTCAGATCACATTAATAAATAAAAAGACAGAATTACAAGACAAAGTGATGTACCTGTAAAAAGAAAATGTTAAATTTATTCAAATCAAAATTAATTCAGATCTTACCTTACTGGAACCACGTGTGCACCAGCCATTTCCAGAAATGAAACATAAGATGTCTGAATGAATTCTTGTCCATACTGGAATGTTGTTGTAGGTTCAGTAAGAATACCTACAAATAAAATTAAAGATGTTAAAAATTGGGTTGGATAACTTCAACATTTGCATCATCTATATTCCATTTACCAGTATTTTACTAAACTATTAGATCACATTTTTAGTGTATCTAGTTTTTGCCCCAGGTGACATGCCAAACAAAAATCAATAACATTCCTAAGATAGTTTTAAGAAAAGTGTAAAAAAAAAGGTTCATATGAATGAAGCAAAGTTGAAGGATTAAAAACCAAAAGTTTATGATTGTAAACCGGGTACCTTTATCAGAAGTTTAAATGCTTAAACATTATTCCTTGGAAAAAAAAATTGGTTATTATAAATATATTCTCTTTGTCTAAATTTTTTGTTTGAGTAATCACTTTTTGTTTAAACTTTAACTACCGGTACTAATTTCAGTGTTTTTATTTTTTACCAATAAATGGTCTGTTGTTGACAGCAGCAGAGGTATCTATAAAAGATAAAAATCCTAGGATTGTTAGAATTCTGGAAAACATCACTTTTCTGGAGGTAGTACCACTACGCTTCATCTGTGAAAAATAAAAATGCAAGAAGGAAATAAATTAAATTTTTGATTCAATGTACTCGGTGTGAGTTAAGACCTTTAGAGGACCCTTGGTAGATGAAATTTTGCCCCCCAAATTGAAATTAGTGAGAATTTTTACATTGTTTTTGAGACTTTAATGTTCCTATATTGTGTTAAATAAAGAAGATGCAATGCAATTCTGAGTAAGTTATCAAGGTGCTCATCAGATGTTTTTGGTTGAAGTTCAAGTTGTTTTGTTTGTGGGTTTCATCTTTGAAAATAGCACATCATAAATGTTGATGCTTCCTAATAGCGATGACTTGAAGAAACCTGGAAGATATGTCGTATTCAAGTAGAAGTCCAATTTAAGATACATGATCAAATTTTTCTTTAAGTTGAATGTCAGATTGTAGCTTTAAGCTTTTCATGTGAAAATTGACATTTAATATGTTTATATTGACAGAAAATATTGCAAATTTACCAAAAGATTTATGATTTTTAAGGAAATTGTTATATGCCCTGTTTATTTCATTAATCTTTTCTGTTGAATGAACTTAAGCTGACCCAATTCGGCTGCACTATTAGTAGGGTGTGACATACTAGTTATAATCTTCTTTTGACCTCGGCTACAATTAACAAATCTATGGTCTGTTTCATGATTCAAATTTGGTAGAATATTGTAGAAGCAGCGGAAAGCGAGTACAATGCGTAGCCTTCTAGAATTATCTAAAAAAACAGGTTATAAAAGCCGAGAGATTGAGCGACAGGAGGCAGATTCAGAGACGACTAACGAGAAATATTTGTGAGCGTGTGCTATTTTTGCTACAAGACAGGGATTTGTTTACTGTGAGTTTGTAGATTCCTTTTCATCAATGTACATTTTTACAACATTGTATCTTCTTCAACACTGTATTGGTACAAGCCAATCATTATTCTATTGGTCAATAGCTTTAATTATATTTCTTTTTGATTTTGTAATGTATTATTAACTTAATAAAACTTATTAATTGTAATTAGCCCTGGTTTGAGTATTGTATTCTCTGTTATTGTATTTATCATATGGTTTTATCTTTTGTTGTGTACTGTTTTAGAATGAGCCATACATATACTTAAATAAGAGATTAATTTATCCATATTGATAATAGTACGTAACGAAATGTTGAAACCTTTTCTCAAATTCCTGTATCAAACCAAATTGAAAGGCAAGACTGCATATTTTTGTATTGTTCAAAGAACCAGTTTAGCCAATGTCTTCATTTGAGATTGAAATATTTTCTATTTCATTTTGAAGGCTCTTATGGTTTAAAACTTGGTATTGATCAGGTGATTTGGCACTTTGAAGACTGTGTTAAAATAAATCATTTAGCTGAGCAGTTAAGTCTAATAAAAATACCAAAGAGAGCGTTTACATCATCTGGCAGAGTTTTTTTTATTCCATAAAGTCATAAAGGACTTGATTTAGTCAGCATCCAAAAAGTAAATGAATTATTATTAAATGCCTGGAATTTCAATCAGTAATATAAATCCCTTAGCTCTTATACAGTGGTATTTCATCATACATAAATTTTGAGAGGCAGTGCATTGTCCTCTTTTAATTTTACAATTTCATCTTTTTTATGTGTAAACTACACAAAAATTTAAAGCGCATTAATTATAAAACTTTGTCCCTGGCGTACAGCTGCATAGAAGGCTCTGCACCGGATAACTTAAAGAACTGATTTATAAACATGTATCCTTAGAGAGCCTGGGTTCTTCAACACAAACATTACTGAAAATTCCCAGTGTGGATGAACACAGAAAAAAGTCTTACGGAGTGCGCTCTTTTGAAAATTATGGAATAGTTTGAGGGGATTTGAAAATGATAAAAAATCGTTTAAGAAACATTTAAGCATGAGCTTGCTAAAGTAGCATGGATACCAGCGCTACATAAATATCCAATCAATCAATCTATTTTACCTATCATCATTGGGGCACCATCAGTATTAGTAGTTATAAATTAACTTAAATAATTAGCCTATACCAAAAATGCTCTCACTCAGTGAACAAAGGAAATCACTTTAACATACAGTTATTTATAATAAATATTTAAATTCACTGCTTCCGACAAAAATTAATCTCTTGATTTAGTTGTGTCTTTTAATTAATGTAATAAAGTGTATATTAGTAGTTCAATACCTATAGCTTCTAGTTAGTGCAGGGAGCTCTTTGTAGTAAACTACCAATACCTTCTAGAGAGCTATTGGTAGTCCAGCCAATCAAATCAAACCAAATTCCTAGCTTAAAAAATCCGCTTCCAATGAGGCTGGCGAAGTATTGCCATGTTCATTTATTACTAGAGTGTAATAGTGACAACACCTCGGCACTAATTAATAATTATAAAATCTACAATAAAGTTGTAACACTATCTACTGTAGCCTTCCCCATGCTTAGATATGGCTATATAATTTATAAATAATATAGACCTAATTAATATAGATCTTAGATAGATGTATGATACTGGGGGAAAGGGTCAGGGATCTTACTCCGAAAAAATGTTACACAGTTTCCTCTTTAGCCAAAGCTAAATTAAGATGTGCAATAAAAATAAAATCCATCTAATTATTTTGATTAAAATTATAAATTAAAATACAGGCCGAAATAATTACCATAAGAAGTTTAACTGTATACAAAGTGTGCATATTAAAAACTAAATCATATCAATGTAGTTAAATGAAACTGTATAATAATGTGATTACGCTTAACGATGATAAAATAAGCTTAGGCCAATCATTTTTTAGGAACATGATCACTTGAACCAAACACAACCCAAAACTAACCCCCCCCCCGCGCCAGTTTTGATTTTCTGTTGTTGGGAGAATTGTCTACTGAGTGTTATTTACATAAATGAGCCCTCGTTAAATAATAAATGCGTCAATATTTTTATGTACAATTTTCATTGGGTATATTGTGCAACCATACCACAAATTAATCAATTTATGTCTAGGAATCACTATTCACTATTTGTTTTTCAATGCCATACAGAATCAATGTTTTAAACTGCACATAATTTTGATGAAAACATAAGCTGTGATACATAAATAAAATATATACAATGAAAGAAAAATAATGTATTATGTCTTGAAAATCCGATTGGAGTGAATTTAAGAGACTAGACTCAAACAATAAATTTTTTTGGCACATTTTTTTTTTTGGGGGCATATTTTAGAGTGATTTCAATGTTGTAATCAAAAATAAATTGTGACAACCAATAATTATTGCACTACATCCATCTATCACCAATTGGTAGTTTGTTTTTTTTTAGAAGTAGAAGCTACTGGTAGTGGAGTACCAATAGCTCTCTATAAGCGGACACACAGTGTGGGAGATATACATCCAGCGAGCATGTCATGTGACCGCCGGACGACTAGTAGGCGTTTTTTTTCTGGCAGAGCATGTGACAAGTGGTCGTCGGCAAAATAGTTGCATTGCATTTGATATTCCCATCCCTAGATAATAAATAAATGCTGAACATGTTAATATATTCAAATGCTCTGAGATAAATAAAGTGTTTGACTTTGAATATTAAACTAGTCGGTCTATATACTAACTATTTGTACTAATACTTGTAAAGCTCTACCTTGAAGCCTAAACTTAAAATATGTACCTAATAAAATGAGTCCAGTAGGATTCAATAGACCTATGTCAATAAAGTTGTTTTTCAGGACTAGTATTTAGTATTGCATGAGATGTAGGCTAGGCTTCCACTATATCAGCCTATATTAAGATGTAGGGTCTATTTCTTTGTGACCTATCGGCCTCAATGCCTTAAACATAATTATTTATCAAACTGACTATTATTTTCCAAGCATTCGTAATTTTATTACTTTAATTCTCTCTTCACTCCCTCTTATGATTACTTCCTTCTAGAATGCATTATTGCTTAACCCCCTCTTTTTTTGGTAATATACCGAAGCATTTTTTTCTATTATTTGTTTGCAAGATACTCGGTAAATTACTTGGTAGAAAAATAGATTTTAAAATCATTCGCGGTCACGAGACAAGGGACAAGGCTTACGGACAAATATCTCACGCAACATTGTTATGGTGGTCATGTGACTTGGTAGCCGGACAAATAGTGCGGGAGAAATACATCCAGCGCGCCGGACGTGTAGACACTGCCTTACTAACTACAAATAGCTCCCTAGAAGCTATTATTATTATTGGTAGTTTACTACAAATAGCTCCCTAGACGCTATTTGTAGTTAACCACCAATAGCCACAGCCTTAATGTAATTACAGTAAATAAAGCATTTCTTCGGTGATATTTTGTCACCAATACCTCTGCCTGCTGCTCATCATAAAATTCTAAGTTTATTTTATTAGGATATTTTGCTGGGTCGCATTCATCACCTTCCTGTGCCGCGGGTTGGACACGACTAGTCTACAGAATAAATATTACTAAAAAAAAATCTAAGTTGCAAATAAACAAAAATATTCTGGTAACAACACATAGCTGCACAGGCACAGGTGACAGACCTTTCAAACTTCTTGCCTTCAATCTTTGTCTTTTCGTTGTTTTTTTCTGAAATTTCTGACTGAAAATGCCCGAGTGAAACAGACAGAGCGTTTATCCCACCGGCTGGAGAAGCTAGATGACACTGCTGATAATATGTTAACACTATCATAATAAATATAGTTCTACATATTGTGGCTGTTGTTTAGTTACTAGACCTAATTATTTTTTAATTATTATATTTCTATCATAGTATGATGATTCATACTATCATTAATTTTTAACGTTATAAACGTAGTGGTGTATGATCGTGAAATAGTTTTTAGCAGTTTAAAATTAAAGTGGTTCTAAAACTTCTCACTCATAAATAAAAATATTTTCATATTTTAAGTTAAACATTTTATTAATAAGAAAAAAATGATTAACTACAATTACAAAGGCCAATTTACCGGGATTGTATGGGTTATTGTTTTTGTTAAGTTTTTAAAACACATGACTTCCTTAAGTTCAGCACATTTTAAATTTGAGAAATTTTTAATTTTCCAATATTCCCAATATTTTTCAACTGTGCGCATCCTGGGAGAATCCCCATTTAACCATCAGCCCTTGAGGTATTTTTTTTTCACGCGAAAAACACAAAACATGACACAAAAAACTTAAAACACTGACGAACTATTAAGCCGTCCATTAATTATGTCAACAAAATAAGGGGGGGGGGGGAGGCAGTGGGGTTGGGACATGTTTGACGGTGGTTGACAAGGGGGAGGGAGGGGGTTGAGATTAGTTGACGTCAAAAGTCATGTTTTCTATATTAAATTAAAATTGATTGGCTTTTACAATATTTAAAAAAAAATTAATGAGTATAAATAGTCATAAAATTTTTAGGTGCCATGTGCAGTCAAGAAAAATGATATTGTTAGAGTAGGAATACGATATTTTGAGAATTAGGGGAAGTAAAGAGAGTAACAATAATAACATCGCTGCTTGAACGGATTTGAAACATCTGTAACATCTATTTTGCATCACAAGTCATGTTGAAACAGCATGTCCAACAGCACCGACAATGCCCTCTTCAGCATAAGAAATTACCACCTGCTACTCAACAAAAAAAAAAAAAAGAATTAAACCAACGCGAGTAGCTGCATGGAGACACAGAGAGCTTATGGCAATTATTGCTCGCACAGACAATTGACTTGTCTAGTATATCAGTTCCGCAAAATGAAAATGATAAATGAGCTACTAAAGACTAGGCCCATCGGGGGAGTCATTTCATGGGGTTTTCAGGGGGGGGGAAGGGGGCAAAACCAAAACTTGGTCGGCTTTTAAAGCTTTTTATTACTGTAGGCGCCACAGTAGGCCTAAATAGCAATTTAAAAAACACCTGCAAATGCAGGGGTTGGGGCAAATGCCCCCCTGCATACCCAAATGATGTCCCTGATGCCCATTGTTATGATAGAGCAACACCTGGTTTCTCCATGGGAAGATGATGATAGCAGCTAAAAACTATACCGGTACTATAATTGTCAGCTTTACTGACAATAATCATATTTATACTTCCACAAATAATGATATTTAGTCTTTAACGGGAGGGGGGTTCACTGAAAGTTTGACAGTGTTGACAAAGGGGAGGGGGGGGTCAAAAACTGCGTAAAACTTGTTGACGTAATTAATGGATGACCCCTAAGCATTTATGTGGTTAGATAATTTGTTTTAAAACATAACATTAAAAGCAGCTCACTGGAAAAAGTTTAAACAAATTACTATTCCTGATTAGTAACCATTATTTATCTTTATCAGATCTAGTTCAAAATTCATCAGACAGTCCACACATAAGAAATTTGTAAACAATATCACCGAATGCATAACAAAATCGATTTATATATTTAGGTAACAGTCTGACACCCTCATTACCACCTTTTATGAGCAGAAAGTCAATAATAATAAAACAACATCTTTATTAATTATAAAGGCACTGTAGGATGGCGATCCGACAAAAAATTTCCAGTGATGCTGGAGAACCGCTGAATGAGTATTTTCAAACTTTTAAGTAAACTAAGAAGATAATTATAATCTTCCTTAACTTAAACACGACATGTTTTCTTAAAATCAAGGGGGAAAAAAAAACCAACAGAATAATTTAACCGACTTATTTTCTTAAGGGACTTAAAAACGTTCTCAAACAACAGATAATAAGAATGTTTATCAGGTGAGTAGCAGACGTAGACAACTGATAACAAATTAAAATGGTTTTTATACCCGGTACCCAATTAAGGAACAAGCATACTCTGTTTAAGTATAAGTTTATACTGTATAAGTTTATAACAACTAATAAGTGCACTTTGAGTGTCAAATGAGTAAGACAAATATTTGACAAATATGAAATTTTATACTTCAGTAGGATAAAATTATCTTTAAATACTAGTCAAATTTTTTGCTAGCTATTCTAATATAAATTATACAAATTGTTAGCATACCTTATTACTAATAATATTAGTGAGTTGTAATTTTATCCATAGACAATGTGTCCTGTTATGATACAATATAGGTGAAGGTGAAGCTGAGGGTAGACGCACACTTTACGTTTGTGCCTATTACAGACCCAACACCGCAGATGAACCAAGCCTGAGGAGGCTTGACGTGTCAATTCAGAGAGCAATGCAGTCGAAGAACGTTTCCCTCCTCATAGGAGGAGATTTCAATTTTCCTGGTTGGAACTGGCAGATTTCTGCCTTGAAGCCCAAGTCCCCATACCCGGTCCTACACTCTGAATTCATGGAGATGATTAACAACCATGGTCTGGAACAGATGGTTAAAGAACCCACTCGAGGGGACAACACTCTCGACCTACTCCCCACTAACAGTCCACATCTCATCCCAAGAGTTGAGGTCATCCCCGGGATATAAGATCACTGCATACCATATTGCGAATTTCAAGTCAGCGCGCTAAAAAAGAAACAGGCTCTACAAGAAATCCCCATTTATGCAAAGGCAGACTGAGATAGCCTGAGAAGTGCAACGACTGAGCTGAGTTCAAACATGCATGAGATTCAGGGTAATGCAACAACAGAAGAGCTGTGGATGAAATTCAAGACAACAATCACTGATGCAGTGAAGAAATTCATACCACACAAGACCTCCAAACCAAAGACAAATCAACAATGCATAGGTTAGGGCTGAAATCCGAAGGCTCATACACAGGAGAGACCGCCAGTACAAATGAATGAAGAAGAATGGCTCGGTCGAACTGAAAGCCGAAGTACTGAGGCTCCGAAGAAACATCCAACACTTACTGCGCAGATCTTACTGGAGGTACGTCAACGGCATCTTCTCAGGGGAAGATACTCCGGCCAAGAACAAGCGGTTCTGGAGCTACGTCAAGCATCAAAGGTCATCAAACACCGGGGTCTCTCTCCCCCCCCCCCCCCCCCCCCCCCCCGNCCCCCCAAGATGGGAAGGCAAGTTGACGTCTGAACCCAAAGAACAGGAGGACATACTCAATTAACAGTTCCAGACGGTCTTTTGGGATGGTAGAGAGTACTCAGAAGTTGAGTTCCTTCTGAAGACCAACATGATGTGCACAGCCTACCCCGCCATGGAAGATAAACAGATTTCAGAGAAGGGTGTGCTGGAACTTCTTAAAACCATTAACCCCTACAAAGCATGTGGTCCTGACAACATCAAACCATGAGTGCTAAAAGAATTGGCCAATGAAATCGCTCCTGCAATAAAAATCCTCTTCCAATCGTCGCTATTCACAGACAACGATCAAACTGACTGGAGAACAGCTCATGTGACTCCAATCTACAAAAAAAAGGAGCATTACGACCCTGCCAACTACCGCCCTGTCTCTCACTAGCGTTAGTATGTAAACTATTTGAGCACATAATCGTAAGCGCGGTCATGAATCATCTGGAAAGACACAATATACTCAATGACTGTCAGCATGGCTTTCGAGTCAACAGATCATGCGAGACCCAACTCCTTGAATTTGCTGAAGAATTGACGACCAACTTGGAGAACAGCAAGCAGACTGATGTGCTTGTGCTGGACTTTTCAAAAGCGTTTGACGTGTCAACCATAGCTTGCTATTACACAAACTGCAGAGATATGGGATTCAAGGCACTACCAAAACATGGATCTCTAGCTTCCTCAGCGACCGATGCCAGGCAGTAGTTGTAGATGGCAAAACCTCCTCCTTTCATGGTGTTAAGTCAGGGGTCCCCCAGGGCTCAGTGCTAGGCCCTTGTTTGTTCCTAGCATATATCAATGATCTGCCCGAGAAGCTGACCTCTCAAGCAAGACTGTTCGCAGACGAAAAGGCGTTCGCAGACGACAAGGCGGTGTATTGGACAATCGTCAACAGTTCTGACCAGAGCCAGCTCCAACAAGACCTCAATCGGTTAGCTGAGTGTGAGATGAGCTGGGACATGGAATTTCATCCCGTCAAGTTCCGGCTGGAACAAAGTACAGGAGCGCCTCATTCCTGTCGAAGAACGACGACGACTATCCAGACTCACCATGTTGTACAAGATCAAAAATGGGCTGGTCCACTGCTCCGGCATCAAACAGAAACTCGTTCATCATCCCCCTAGACAGCGACGAGGCCACGACAGACAGTTCCGGCTGGTAAAAACAAGAACAAAGTACAGGAGCTCCTCATTCTTGCCGAAGACAATAGGGGACTGGAACAAGCTTCCAAAAGCAACAGTTGAGGCGGCTACACTCGACACATTTGTGTCTATTGCCTCCTGTATTCCAGCCCCCAGTTCGTAACACCACTGCTGACTAGCCCTTGCAACCAGTGAAGTATCCTCTTGAAACCCATTCACAGTAACATCGAGAAACCCTTTGAAACATAGGAGCCAGAATGATCAATTCATTGATCGTGGGCCCTCAAAACAAACAAGAAGAGGGTCAATGCACATGAGATACATTAATGAATTATGAACATGTTCAATATGAATTATTCTAGTTTTCTTAATTAATTGGTAATTTTTTGGCTGCACCACAACATTCTGCCAATTAAGAGCATAGAACTGCTGAAACGTTACAGAGAATAGCTCTTGAATGGTAACTCACGAAGAATCTCGCCCCACCTTTACTACCGTTAATGTGGGACCCGGCCTGGAAGCTAACCCGTAAATTAGTTATGCTGCCACAGGACAGCCTGATTGGAGCGCCCCCACATAAAAACTCACCAGGCCGGACATGCGTTGTGCATCCTAGGGAAAGTTCCAGCTGCCACAGCCAACCCAAAAAGATTCTATCTTGGCTGTTGCAGCCAAAGAGCTCTTTGTCTTCAAACAGGGGCTTTCCACTCTTACTAAATCCAGCTGTGTTATTACACAGCCTTGTCTTTATGTGTTTTTGCTCGCTCTCAAAGCTCCACTTATCTACTTTGTCCTTGCATTTTTTGTGTAAGCAATGGTGCACTTCTTAGTGGACAGGGACCCCCTCCCCACCCCACCAGTTCTCAGCCCAGGGGGCAATAACCTCCATGTTCAATACCTTTCTTTGCTGAAAATTACACTGTTCTGCCTTTGAGAAAACTTATCATCTTCCCCTTGGTGGATAATGGCTGCCTCAAATGGCGTCCTCGTGCCACCACGCTTAGCAACTGGCCTGCTAATCAGAACAATCCATACATTTTTGCACGGAACACTAGCAGATGTAGATCTATCTTGGTATTTTGAAGCAATAATATAAACAAAGCAAACTGCCACACTCCAGAATTAATCTGGAGTTTTTAAGAATATGCGTCTATCTGAAATATAAAACATACACCTTACATCATAAAGAAATAAAAAAGTAAAACTAAATTTGGTAGTATGATAAAATGTATTTATTAGGGCAAATCATTGAAATTTATTGATAAAAAAATTGAAGAAAAAAACTCATATCAAATGATTATTTATATCTTAAGTGTGACCAACATGGGACACCATGACGTCATTTTTTAAAAATACTTTAAAATTCCAGGACGGAATGTTTTGAAAGGTAAATTGAGAAAATATAATTATAAATAGACAATTCAAATCATCCTAATCAGCAAGAGTTAAATGTTTCTAAACAGATACCAGCAGTATAACAAAGATTTAGTGAGAAAACTCAAATATTAATAATAGTGAAATTTCAATGCTATCATTTAAGATAACATCTCACATGTTAAGTTACTTGAATCTAAGATGATAAAATTCTGTTCATGTAAAAATTCCTTAAACTTTCCAATAATGACAATATACCAGCAGACAATAACATGCACTAACAACTTTAACAAAATCAACTCACAAGATACACTCATCAGACCAGAGAAATATTTACAGATATCCAATGAATATATAAAATCTAATTTTTGAGGTTACCTGGATCATGAGGAAATAAAATTGTCAATTTTTAAATTTCATTAAAAATAACATGGTACCAGCATAAGATATTTTTATTCACCTTGCTCAGTTTTATTTCCTATTTTAAGACATGGCTGTTTCCTCTTAACATAGTGATGGTGGCGTCAAATAGATAAAAGCACAGACATTAACTTAGGGTAGAAAAAAAAATTGGGAATCAAGAACACTTCCAAAGAATGATTGCCATGTTGCCACCAAAAAACATGTACAGAAGATTTTTCACTTCATGTGTGATTTCAAAACCATAGCCTTCCCCAACAACTGCATGCCAAGATGCCCCAAATTTCTTGTCCATTGTGTCTTTAATCATTTTGGCAGCATTCTGTTAGTGAATAACAAGATTCAAATACCACATATTAGCATTGTCATACAAAGGAATAAGAACTCTACTTTCCCTGCAGATTTATAAAAAAAAAATACACTACCAAAAAATGAAAACAGTTAAAAATAAAGCAATAATAAGAATTTAAAACATTTGGGACTTTAAATTTATAATGTACATCTGTATCATTTGATAACTTCTAGTTTGGATCCATATATTATGTTAAGTGCTAAATAATGATTCAAAATTTGAACAACTCTAAAGGTATTTTTTAAAATGCTGAACACAAAGAACATTAGACTAATTAAGACTGAGCATGACTGGTGAAAATGTTGTTATCCACGGTACAAAATTTTTTTTTAGTAACATCCTAAACATTACTTTTAAGATCTATGAAATTCTACAGGAACGGAAATATTTTAATTAAATGACTACAAAATATAAAATATTTAACCTCATTATTAGAAGCAAACTTCTCACAAGCTGTAACACACAACTCCATGGCTTCTGTTTTCATTTCATCATTCATGTCTGAGTGCTATGGTAAAATAAGTGTTAACAGTAAAAAAAAAGATGCATACACAGAAAAGTTGTGATGTTTTCAAAAGAAAAAAAAAGATCATTCTTAAAGAAAACTTCTTTTACATGCTGTAGTAAAAAGATAGTCTATTCCTGCTGTTTACATCATAAATAAAAATTTAAAAAAACATTACTAATATTATCTGGCAAGAAAATCAACATTGAGCATTTCCATAAAAAATATTTTCTTATTTTCATTTTCAACAGCCCAAATTGTGCCTGGCTTTTCTTGTAGCATAAGACCTCATAACTTTATGGCCGCAAGTTCTTTTGCATCCATCCTCAATGTGTGGCATGGATTCAGACTGAAAGCAAGTCTAAGTCAGTATGGGAGGAGTAAAAACCTTAGTGGATTAGGAAAACCTCAACTGTTTAAGCCAGCAACCAACCAACTAGGTGTGGTATTTTCAGAATTTTACCAAATGCTGCCCGGGATCAAAACCCAAAAATGTGCCCCTTGTTATAATTTTTTTTTATGATTGATTTTGTGAGAATGTTTTGCTTTGTGCTTGAAATATTTGTTTGTTCATCAATTGGGTGTGGGTAGCATTTCCAGGGCTAGAAGTGGTTGCTTGAAGTGTGAATGTCAATTAATGTGTGAGAATTTTATATGTTGTGACCACAAGGATATTTGTCATTGAACAATTGATTTCACTGAGTTCTAGTGGTTTAAATAATCAGAGAGTTTCTAAAAGTATAGATGTAAGAGTTGATATTTTGTTAGGGTTTCTAGTAGTCATAGACATTGTGGAGAATTGGACTGTGTGTAAGTGTTCTTGCATGATTAAAAAAACTGTGACTAGCAAGCAAGGAGAAAAATTTACCCTAGACTGAGAAAGAGTCTGAAATTTATGCCAGACAGCAGTTGCATTGAACACCCCCCTACCCCTATCAATGTTTAAAACACCACTATCTGGCCTCTTGGAGACTATACTAGGACTGAAGAGTATTGCTAGGGCAATGGAATAGCATTTTGTGCAGATAAAGCGGTAAAACTTCAATATAGCGTCGGTAATTAATAACATTAAAATAGACCCAAAACAGCTTTAATAACATGAAAATACACCCAACAAAGTTGTAGTTAACACATTTTCAATTTATTTAAAGCACCATTCTACTCTGAACCAAAACAGACTGTCTAATCATGGATAATTATCGACAAGCGTAATCAGGAATTTCGGAAACATGTCTGTGCACCGAAACTGGTTAGGATAGGCACATTCTGGCAGATATGATGGAAACAATGCACCACTAGTTCCAAATTGTCCTCTCAACTTCCGCTTGGCTCTCATCCACATGTTTAAATGTTCTGTGTATGCACTTCGCTGTCATCAGGATCCACGAAATTACGTTCGTGAACAACAACAGAATGCTCTTACATTCCATGTCCGATTTGATCTATGTGTGCGTATGCAGCCCAGCCATCGGAAACGATGTTGTGTCCCTGGCAAGATGTGAGCTTCTATACAGGCTTGTAGCGTGTCTGCGTGCCTGTCTGGCACTTCCAACAAGAAGCTATTGCCACTTACACACTCGACCCCACCGAAGACCCAGTGGCCATCCCGCCACTGACCACATTGATATTTCGAGTGGAAAAATTTCGTTTCATATCTATCTCCACAATTATAGGTTTTCCATTTTCGTTTATTCCACCAATTTCGGTCGCATTACGTTCCAGCCAAGCTTAAGTATTTCTGGTCAGGTAGAAAATGACGTCTATATAAGTATGTAATTACCGACGCTATATCGGAGTTTTACCTACAAAGCCTCATACTCTACTAGTTGCGGGAGATGGCAGCCTTTCTTTTTTTTTTTTGACTGGCGAGAGTCTCACAAATATTAATATGTTTGAAAAGTAACTTTCAAAGATATACTATTTAATTATGATTTGGGGTAATTAGATTCATGTCACTATGGTGCTGATTCAATACCAACGCTGTCTTAAATTATTAATTATGGATTTTTAAAAAAAACTTTCTAAGACTCAGACTGTTGGTTAGTTACTAATAATTTACTAATAGAATAGTTGGGTGGCGTCTCACTCACTCGGACTCGGCAATTTTTTTTTTTTTAATTCGCTCAAACAACTCACTACTTATAAATATTCAGGCGTTAAAATACTTACTCTAATCAAAGGATAGGTATGAACTCTCTTCAAATCTGCATCGGCCTTCTTTTCTTCGGTGACTTCAGCCATTTTTGTTAAAACGATTTGATAAAATTGAGTTTTTGTTTACAAAGGAGGCAAAATACGAGTTCCTCAGTTTGGTAACCAAGTTATGGCGCATGCGTATTTCACTGTTTCGTTTTAAGATTATCTTTCCGGTGAAACATAAAAAATTATAAATCTTTCAAGCCTTACAATGACTTAAATATTTGGCAAATTTTTTTCTTACGTATTTGAAATAATTATATTTCATACTTGCTTATTTGTAGCATCAATTTATTTTTAAATAATTTTGTATTTCGGTATTTGCATGAATTAAACTTTTACTATTAATTCATATAATTTCTGCATTAAAAGCTATAACCTGTGCCCAGCATCAGTGATATTGTGTATAGTAAAGTCGTGTAATAACCCCCCCCCACCCCCGCCCCCCCCC